CTAAAGTCTTCACAATCATAACCTGAATAATTAATGAATATTCCTACGGAAATATCGAGTGGTTTTTTCCAATAGCCTTCATAATTCTAATACTAGATGTCCCAAGTTGTCGTATACAGGCAATATCTCGCCTATTTGTCAAGATATCAAAAACATTGAAAAACTGCATTGGATGGCATTAAATAGCTTTCCTGATGACTTATGAAAAATGTGATATATTTGGCAGCCCCTTGATGGTAGATACTAATCTTTTTTATCTTCAAATAGCATATTGTTTCTGAAAATTGCGTGTCAATCTATTTGAAATACAACGATATAGCACATACTTGGTGTTTAGTTCATTGATAACAACAAAAACATGAACATGTTGTGACTTTTTTACGTTTCTTAAATGAAAAATTGCTTTCACCCATGTGTTCAAAAAGTTCACAGATAAGAAGTATGGATTGAATTTTTGTTTCAAAAAATTAGTGACAGATATCCTATTTTGGAGTGCAGAACATCAATCATTGCAGACGGTATACCTACCTACTGTAATAATTAATCTATTTCCATTGTGGGAAATTTTTACAAACATGGGAGGAGGCAAATTTCAATCGGTGTAACGTAAATATAGGGTCGAAAAATATGATTGTTTTTGTTGTTAATAATAAACAAAATACAAAGTACCGATGTACTATCGTTCTTTTCCAAAATGGGATGATAGGCAATTTTCAATGGCAATATACAGGGAGTCCATTCAATAAAAATTGAGGGTTAGCTACCAGGGGGCTGTCCAATCTAATTGATTTTCTTTCGAGTCATGAAGAAAGTACTTTGATGTCATGTGAAGCATTTTCACTATTTTTTGATCATCTTGTCGAATAAGCGAGTTTTTGCCGGTACCTATACGATAACTTGGGACACCCAGATAATACTAATTGTATACTGAATACTTGATTTTCTTACTGTCTAAGAGAATTTGTAGAACAGGTCATTTTATCTCCCCGCCATCATGGAAGATTATTTCAAATTTTGCAGTAAATTAATGATAATATCTGCTCTGACGAAATAGACAAAATTGTTCCGATTCAGGTGGGATCGAGAATCAAACATCTACTTCGATTTCATGTGTGAATATCGGACGACACTTTTTCAAAATAAATACCCGGCCAACTCCTCAAAGATGTTCTCGAGTGAAAAAGTTCACTTGATCAATGTCTTGCTATAAAATATTGCCTAGATCAAGAACACGTCCCGGTATCTCAATTATGGAAGATGGTATAGACACATCAAAGAGGAGTGATTTGAAACCATCAAACTGTCCTCTGTCTGCAGGTATCGTATGTTTATGTAGATCTAATACACCCTGTATTTCGTATTCGAAATGAAAAAATTTAGTATACCTCAAGTCAAACCAGAAGTGTTACATTTGGTCTGATACTAGCGAAATTATACACAATTCAGTTTCATGAACCATTTCCCCAAAGGACCCCGCACTTTTAGTACGTAAAATGGTTCTCGGTGAAATTTTCTGAATTTTCAGTATGTTGTAGAATTCGATGAACTGATTGAACCTGCAGAATCGTAAAGTTCTTTGATGAACAGATTCTGAGATACTGGGCGTTGAAGTTACAAATCGGTATTTTTCATTTAATTATTTTCTCGAAATTCAAAGATGCCAAGTACATTTTTTTTCGCTCATATCATCAACGAACCTCCATATTACTCAACATAATTCAGATGGTTCAGATAATGTAATTGTTTAGAGAGTGAAACATATAAACATTTCAGTGATGTCTGAAAATTCGATGTAATAATGAAATATCAAAAAAATAATTTAGGCATGCAATGAACTATTCTCATTCCATCATGAATCACAATTCATACATTTCATACAGGGTGATTTGAAAAATTGGTGACACCTAAGACCGATTAATTCATACACATCCTGTATATTCGAGTGAATTGTTAACCTCCCAAGATAGCTGATACCGTATGAACATGATTTCGTTGAGATATATAGGGTGATCATGAAGATTTTCGATGATGAAAATGACAAAAATTCGTGTTTTTTTAAATCACCCTGTTATTCATGATTAACTCGGTGAAATTCCCTAATTATTTTTTAATATATTCATCATTCGCTCCTCAACGCTGTCTTGAAAATTCAGTTTCCTATCATGACGGGTGTCATAGTTATTAATTCAGGAACTTACCATTTGCATGAAGAGTTGAAGAGACTTGTTCACTTACATTCGCATAGTGGCCGATATTTTTCACAAATAGTTAAACTTGAGAATGTGGAGACGAAAATAAGTTTAGTATTCATATACAGGGTGAACATTAAAAATTCAATAAGAATAGCAGATATATGAATTCAATAATATTAATATAATGTACAGATAGTTAGGCGAATTTCGTTGGTATACAAGCTCTGCCAAAATGAAAAACGAACAATACCTAGGAGATGGGAGAATGATTCGGTCTTTCACGCTTCCATTTCTAATAGGGAGAGTTGAATCCTGGAATCGACAGATTTTTTCACATTTGTTTTCCACTCAGAATCAGGCGTTTCCATCATTTTCATATTTGCTTGTTATCAGTAATTATTATAATATCATTAGATTCATATTCATATCACATTCCAATGATATAATTCAATGCGTATGATGGTTTAATATAAATAATCCTATTATACTGGATGTTTCCGAAATAGCAGCGATAAATATGAAAAGGTGTTGTATGGGACAAAAAATACTGAACTTGTCACGCGGCTACTGATTGATTTCAGATTGGGTGTTGTAACTTAGAAATATTCCCTTTGTGGAATTTATTGTTCATCAATTTATGAAGACTTGAAGAAACTTGTTCATTTACATTCGTCAAGTGGCCGAGATAATTCACAAATAGTGAAACGTGAGAATGTGGAGATCAAGTGTAACATAAATGATTTATGAAGGCCCATTTTGGCAGAGCTTGTATACCAACGAAATTCGCCTAACTATCTGTACATTATAATTATATTATCAAATTCATATATCTGCTATTGTTATTGAATTTCTAATGTTCAACCTATATATGAATACTAAACTTATTTTCGTCTCCACATTCTCACGTTTCACTATTTGTGAAAAATATCGGCCACTATGCGAATGTAAGTGAACAAGTCTCTTCAACTCTTCATGCAAATGGTGAGTTCCTGAATTAATAACTATGACACCCGTCATGATAGGAAACTGAATTTTCAAGACAGCGTTGAGGAGCGAATGATGAATATATTAAAAAATAATTAGGGAATTTCACCGAGTTAATCATGAATAACAGGGTGATTTAAAAAAACACGAATTTTTGTCATTTTCATCATCGAAAATCTTCATGATCACCCTATATATCACAACGAAATCATGTTCATACGGTATCAGCTATCTTGGGAGGTTAACGATTCACTCGAATATACAGGATAAGTATGAATTAATCGGTCTTAGGTGTCACCAATTTTTCAAATCACCCTGTATGAAATGTATGAATTGTGATTCATGATGGAATGAGAATAGTTCATTGCATGCCTAAATTATTTTTTCGATATTTCATTATTACATCGAATTTTCAGACATCACTGAAATGTTTATATGTTTCACTCTGTAAACAATTACATTATCTGAACCATCTGAATTATGTTGAGTAATATGGAGGCTCGTTGATGATATGAGCGAAAAAAAATGTACTTGGCATCTTTGAATTTCGAGAAAATAATTAAATGAAAAATACCGATTTGTAACTTCAACGCCCAGTGTCTCAGAATCTGTTCATCAAAGAACTTTACGATTCTGCAGGTTCAATCAGTTCATCGAATTCTACAACATACTGAAAATTCAGAAAATTTCACCGAGAACCATTTTACGTACTAAAAGTGCGGGGTCCTTTGAAATATCCATACAAAATGAAAACGAAGATACAGAGGGTTGAATTCGTTCATGGTCACCCAGTTAAGAAAATGGGAATACCTCACTAACACGGTTCAACTTGACTCCTTATACAATTAGAATATGTTGAAGAGGTTGACCTGAACTGCAGGATTCTATGTAATATATTAGGTTTTCCAAAAATGAAAATTGACCTATTCAAGGGATATTTCATAGCCCAATAGCCCGACAGGGCATTTTCGTTTTTTTCATATCAACAAACATTTCTCCACTATCTGCAAAATATATAGGAAGCAGCAAAAAGTTCATGAAATTTGAATGGAACACCCTATATATTTCCTCACCATCAGGAAGACCGTTCGAAAAGCTTTCCAGAATATAGGCTTCCAAAACTAACAGAGTTTGATTGATTTTGGATGATTTCCGAGAGTAGGCCTAGCCGATGATTACAATATTGATATTTAGTGATCATCGCCATCAGAATCGAATGTCATAGGTAGCGATATAGTGATCATACCTGGATTTGCAATCATTGTTATTCCAAATCCATACACTTCCTGCTGCTCCCTGTATATTTTTCCAGATCATGGAAACAAGTATCTATTCGAAAACATCCTATACTTGCTGAATGACACATTTAAACCACGAAATGGCATCTGATGAACGTGAAAGGTCAACGTTTCCAACGTGAAACAGGTCACAGGTCACAGGTCATTCGAATTCTAGAAGATGTCATTCCACAGTTATACAAGTATCATTTGAGATCCACCATTTCCTCATTAAATATCTTTGTCATACTCGTTCACCACCATGAGTCATCTCACTTAAGAACACTTGTTCCATCAGAATCGTTAGTCGTGTACGGATTCCTGATAGGACATATTAGCACGCATCAGCTCATGAACCCTTTTTACAGGGTGATAATTTTTTTTTTCGAGAAAGAGAAGTTGTCGAAAGTTTTTCTAGAAATGTCAGGGACATATTCGTTCATTTATCCCTTAAGTATGGGATCTGTTGAGGAACTACAGGAAGTAGTGTGAAAAGAATATTCTTTTTATAGTAATTCATCAATACAGATCATATTCTCTGTTTCAGTTTATATCAGAAACATTTATCTAGACTGAAGAAAGATTTGGGTTACATGCAGAATAAAGTGAAATTTTTGAAACAACACATCAGTCATATAATGCAGGATAAGTTTGGGAAAGTGGTTGATATAAATGAAATAGAATTAGCCATACTGAAAAAAACTTTCCACAAATCCCACGTTAATGAGCTAGAAGAAGTTGTTCTCAAAAAACTTGTATATGATATCAGAATGAAAAATACTGATATCAGGCAAATGTTCATAGCAGAACTTGAGAGTTGGCAGGTGAGTGAATGAATACATATTTTTCTGTGACGGGAAAAAAGTTTTACATTTCATCTCTGTTGACAGGTTACAAAATGTCACTTTTTATTTTGTTCTAAAATTTTGGATATATTATTTTCAATTCGAAGATACAATCTCTGTGTCGGGTCGTTGAATATACCTACTACCTCACCTACTACCGATATTTCGAACATTACTTTAATGATATCAGTATGGTGATGGGGTACTTCACATTTCTAGTGCGGTAAAGGGGTATATTATAGTTAACTGCACTAGTACGGTGAAGTGGTTGTCTGTGTTGCAATGTATTATTCCACCGCATTAGTGCATTTGATCGAAAAATGTTCATAGGGTTCTCTAGTTTTCCGCACTGAACAATGTTTTGTAATCTATCGAAATACTTAGGTAGACCTCCAGCATATCCCGCTTTTTAGCTTTTTGCATTGTTTCGGCAAAATTTCGAAAGTAATTATTGTTACTTTCAATGCTTCCGATCTTGCTGCAATAAAAGCTCAGTCTGTCAATATCTAAGATCTTATATTAGATATTGACTCTCAAGAGTTCCAAGAACACCTCAATATCGTTTCAAAATTGAAAAAAATCTTGGAATGACTTTTGTTTTGGTCAGTCAAGTGGCAACAAGAAACGTAGCTGATATTTTCTTGAGATCTATTGCGCGCAACTGCTTAATCAGTTCATTTTTGTTTTATGTTCAGTAATGAAATATGCATCCATCATTCCAAAAAAATACTGTGTTTTTCTTTAGATAGATTGAAGTACATATCCATTTTAACGGTCCAAGCAATTGGTTTCAACCAACCATTCTATTGATTCTGATAGTTACTGTTATAAAATCTTTTCATGTAGGCATATGCTTCTTCTTGGAAACGAAGAGAGATACGAACATATTGAAAGAGATTGTATAAATAAAATCTTATTCATCGAATGATTTGAAACATATTTTGATGAAAAAAGCTACGCACAATTTTGTTGTGACTCAGCTGGACTACCTCCATTTGATCACCTTATTGTCAAAAATGAAACACCTTACCACATTCAGCCCAGAAAAATATCAATTAATCTTTTGGAACGCACGAGAAGAATTTATTATTTTGTTCGAGAAATATCGTGCGTACTCAGGGATCTACATATAAAATATACCGGCAACAAATTGAGGACCATTTCATATGAATTCAGGAAACTAAAAGGAATCTTACCTCTGAAGCACTCGAAAACTTCATAATATTCGCTGATGAAAAGAAGTATTCATAATGGAATATTGGTGTGTAGGGGAACTCTGAATACACACATACATCGAAGTAGTTTCCTCAACTTCATATTGTATTGTGGCGGTAGCTGACCCCCAGTATGTGCAAGTGGGAGGTCAGATAGAATGAATGAGACCTCACCTTCTAATCAGTTTTTTTGCGAGACTATGAAAAAGTCATCAACACCCACAGAAATGTCAATCAAAGACAGATTTTCTCGCTTAGAAGATCACATTTCTTCTTTGGACAAGAAGTCGGTCCAAAACTCCTCTCAGAAGAGATCTAAACCCAGAAGTCTGTTGGTATCACAGGAAATTCAAAGGCAGGGCAAGTAAGTGTATCGACCCATGCAACTATAGTTCTGAAACTTCAACGGAAAACTCACAAATCCATCACTGAGCGCGGCAGGTGATGGAAACCAAAAATCTTGCCGCCTTTTTATTATGGATCGTGCTTCTGGGATACGATTTTTCATAGATAGCGGTGCGAACATTTCAGTCATTCCCCCAAAATTCATCTGTGGAAGAACCATTGTTTCAAGACGTGAATTATATGCAGCTAATAGATCCCGCATCAAGACTTATGGTGAAAAATTATTGAAAGTTGATCTTGGTTTACGGCTATCATTCTACTGGCCTTTCACGGTGGCTAAAGTTGAAAATTCAATCGTAGGTGCAGACTTCCTCAATAATTTCAATTTATTGGTCGATATTAGGAATAAATATGTACGTGACTATACCACGTTATTAACCAGTAATGGAGTTCCAGTCAGAAGTGATATCTTATCGATACATGTCATAAAACCAGAACAGAAATACGAAGATATTTTAAAGGAATTTCCGAACTTATTACTTGAAAAACCTAATTTTGACACAGCCTGCAGCGACATTTCACATGTTATTGTCACAACAGGATCTCCAGTGTTTGTAAAACCAAGACGTTTACCCTCTGATGAACTCGCTGCTGCAAGAATGGAATTTCAACATATAGTTGATCTCGGTATCTGCAGATCGTCGAAAAGTAGCTGGTCCAGTCCTCTGCATATGGGACCCAAAAGAAATGGTTCTTGGCGTCCTTGTGGAGACTACCGTGCTCTGAATGCTGTCACAAAATCAGATCGATATCCGATTCCTCATATTCACGACTTTGATAGTGAACTAGATGGGACAATAATATTTTTGAAGATCGATAGAAACAGAAGATATTCCCAAGACGACAGTAGTTACACCATTTGGTCTTTCTGAATTCCCAAAATTACCTTTCGGCTTACGTAATGCAGCTCAATCCTTTCAGAGATTTATCCATTCAGTATTGAGAGATGTTTCATTCGCTTTCGCCTATATTGATGATATTTTGATTGCATCATCAAGTGAAGAAGAACATATCCAACATCTGAAGCTGTTACTCAGGGGATTGGGTGACTTCAACATCAACATCAACTTGGCGAAGTGTACCTTAGAAGTTCCAGAAGTTTCATTTTTGGGTTATGTCTTGAATGCGCAAGGCATCAAACCATTAGCTGAACGTATCAGAACTGTTACCGATTTTCCTTTGCCTGCTTCCATTCAAGAGCTTCGACTTGAGCTCTGCGCGGGCAAGATTTTTGAGGCCCGCCCCGACCCGCATGTTTATGAAATGAAACCCGACCCGCAGCAACCCGCACGGCATAAAATGTAACGCAAGCCCGCGCGGTCCGCTGTTGACAACATTTTAGCCCGACCCGCGGCATGACTCTCATGTTTTCTCAAACTCGGCCCGCGTAGCTCACTCGGCCCGCGTAGCTCACTCGGCCCGCGTTGCTCACTCGGCCCGCGTAGCTTACTCGGCCCGCGTGGCTCACTCGGCTCGCGTGGCTCACTCAGCCCGCGTGGCTCACTCGGCCCGCGTGGCTCATTCGGTCCGCATGGCTCACTCGGCCCGCATGGTTCACTCGGCCCGCGTGGCTCACTCGGTCCACGTGACTCACTCAGCCCGCGTAACCCACTTATGGAAAGAAACTTCAAACATATTTTGACCTGATCCCTGGTAACATAACCACTTCACTTTGAAATACGATGGACTCCTGCCACAGATTTCCAAATCAATGTTCAATACTCACATCTATAAAATTTTGATTGGCCAATTTTCATACTTTACAATTTCATTGAAACACATCGGAATATTATTGAAATATTCCATGAATATACGTGTCACCGTTAAAGTCAGCATCATATGGGATTTTTTTTTATTAGTCAGTTATTGCAAATTTGGAGTTCGTGAACAGTTTGTGCTTTGAAAATTATGCAAAATGACTTTTACGATGTCTTCCTATTCATCGGCTACACCTGTCAAATATGACATTTTTTCTAAAAAATTACTAAATGTCAGGTAATTTCTCAATATTTCGAGAAATATTATATGAAAAAGTTGTTTATTTTCAGATTTCCTACCCACCTACCAAATTTGAACCAGTTTGAACAACTTTGATTTTTTTCTCGTTTTCTTAACCTTACAATTTTTCAGCTAATTTAAATTTAGTCAAATCTGAAAAACCAGTTGAGATGTAATACACACATCTGCTGAAAGAATTTTTTTCTGATTAAAATGTTTCTAATTGGATATTTTCAAATAATTACAAATATGCTGAAAGAATTATGTCTAATACTTGATGCAAAGTGGCTCTAGTTCTGAATTTTCGAATCCATTTCCAAATCAATAGATCTAAAGTTGCTAAGTCAATCTTCAAAAATTATTCTCCGAAGTAATACTTACAAATGAATCAAGTTGCTCTGGCATGCTCTGAAAAGAATTGTAGTAATAGAAAAATGAACAATTATTTCACAATAAACATTAATTAATTATTATAAGGCGATTCAAATGATAAGAATGTACAACGTGGGTTGGATATCAATTATAACATTTCGGTATGTCTTCCATCACGCTCAATGCAAATAATGGTTCGCCTGGAAACTTCGTTGACAGCGTTCGTTAAAAACTGAGGAGACATAGTTAATACACAATCTCGAATTACTGTCTCCAGGTGGTTGACATCTCAAAATGGTCTGCGCTTGTAGACTTTTTGCTTCAAATACCCCCAAAGGAAAAAATCTAGTGGGGTAAGGTCTGGCGACCTAGGTGGCCAGGGTTGTTCCATATTCCGCCCTATTGTATTCCCTCGAAATACTTCCAAGATATATCTTTTAACTCCTGCCGAATTATGAATTGGCGCTCCGTCACATTGAAACCATAGGTTATGTCTTTCATTAAGGGGCATTTCATCTAAAATTTGACGTATTTCATCATTTGAAAACTGCAAGTATCTCTCTGAATTTAAATTTTCCTGGAAGAAATATGGGCCAATGACTCTGTTATTTAACACACCGCACCACACATTTGTCTGGAATGAATATTGATCTCGGCATTCTATCACAAACTTTGGGTTTTCTGTTGACCACCACCTACAGTTTTGTGAACTGACTACCCCATTCGAGGTAAAAGTCGCCTCGTCTGTCCATAAAATTTAACAAGGAAAATTTGAATTTTCTTCTCGTTGTCCTTGGAACCAAAAAGAGAAATCCAACCGTACGTCGAAATCTCGCTCTTTTAACGTGTTTATAAATTTTGGTTTGAACGGCTTGAACTTATTATTGTGTAATATTTTTCTCACGGCCTCCCTTTTAGCAC